TACAAAGATCATTTTTATTAAGGTTCTAAGGGGAGTATAGTCATGAGCTGAGGCCTGAAGCAGAAGGGCGACAGCTTCACATCCCAGCGTCGCCGGTCCCGCTCAGATCCTGTTTGGCTTCGGGAGGCTTAGGTCGTTGGGTACTTAATCCTAAACCCTAAACCCTAAACCCTAATGGCTTCTGGGTTTCCCATCTTTAGTCATGTCTAGGGTAGGGGGGATCTTTACCGGGTGAAGGGCTCTACTGCAACGTGGGGTCCAAGATCCCGTGAATCAAGGAGTTCTCCTCTTGCGTATCGTGCAAAGTGTGAGTCGCCCACCCTGACATGGGGTGATACCCCTCATACTTGGAGGTCCAGGATACATATGAACCAATTATCCCTGTACTTATACTTATAACCCAGTTAGAAGCCCCTTAAGTGCCCTAGTACAGTTATCACTGCGTTAAGAAGTACCATGAACCTCCGAGTATTCTCCCTTGTGTAGGAGAATCCCCTTCGAAGAATGCCCCAAGAAGGGGATGCCCCTGAAAGTATCCCTGTGGAATACCCGAACCTAAATCCTAAACCGCAATCCCCTTTAAAAAAGGACCCCGAGATAGGTACTGTACCCCCTATCCTCAGAAACCCGTGGAGTTGGTTCGCAGTGCAAAACCACCGCGCACTCGCCCAAAAGGTGACACGGTGAAAAAAAGATGTCAGGTAGGCTCCCTAAACCCTAAACCCTAAACCCTAAACCCTCAACCCTCAACCCTCAAAGCCTAAAGCCCTTAGACCCTAAAGCCCTAGAACCCTAATCCTGCAGCTCGAGGTTCGAGCTCGCCACGGCGTTTCCAAGACGGAAGCTGCTGCCTTTGCGCATCTTTGTGTGCTCCTGACTTGCCGCTTAGGTTTAGGGTTTAGGGTTTAGGCTTTAGGCTTTAGGCTTTAGGCTTTAGGCTTTAGGCTTTAGGCTTTAGGCTTTAGGCTTTAGGCTTTAGGCTTTAGGGTTTAGGGTTTAGGGTTTAGGGTTTAGGGTTTAGGGTTTAGGGTGGTTCTCTGTAGGGAATCGGCGAATGAGGTATACCCTATCAAATCCCTTAGAAGGCTATGGAAGGCTGTATAGGGGGGTCTACGATAGCTAATTCCCTCAATCCCTACTAAGAGCCAGTAGGTTAGGGGGGTTAGCAGGGAAGTGAAGACCGCAATAGGGGTGCCCCTGACTATGCCACACAAAACTATAGTCCTTCCTTCTTGTAGAAACCTCCATTTTCGGAAACCCTCTTTTCGGTGGGGTTTCTGGTTTGGGGTTTCGCCCTACGCGCTTTACGGGGATGGGGGAGTGAATGTGTAGGTACTACTATGGTGTTTAGGGTTTAGGGTGGATCATACAGGGATGAGTTTATAAGGATCCACTCTTCCACTCTGCATGACGCACAAGCAACTTGAACCCTAAACCCTAAACCCTAAAAAACCCCAAACCCTAAGCCCTAAATCCTAAACCCTAAACCCTAAACCCTAAACCCTAAACCCTAGTTATGCCCACCGAGCTCCGCGTGTTTGCCCGGCCCAGGTTTGTGGCGAGCGAGTTGAACTGCTCTTTGAGGGTGCGCCCAACCGCTGCCGTCAGCGGTTTAGGGTTTAGGGTTTAGGGTTTAGGGTTTAGGGTTTAGGGTTTAGGAAGCCTTCACAATCAGTTCCCATCCCCTTCTAATCCCTCTATTGGGTTCTTTTCACTTAAGATAAGCTGCTTGGAGGAAGACTCCAAGCGGGAAGTGGAGAAAGAAGCACGCCACACTCAGGTTTTCTTGATCTTAGGTCTTGGTGCTTCCTGAGCCCTAGACTTAGTGCTTCCTGAGCCCTAGACTTAGTTGCCTCTTCACGCTGGATCCAAAAACACTACATACCCACACTAGGACGCTGCCAGTTTTAATTAAATTCCCCCCCCCCCCCCCGGGCTAGTTTTTATGCTTTTTGCTTTGCCTCATATGCTGGACTTCAGGAGCTGGGTTTGGCGCCCAGCGCTGCGTTGCTCCTCATCGAGGAGGAGTGAAAGCTCCAGCCTAAATGGGCCAACCCTCTCGACAGTTCATCCTAGGTTAGGGAAGTTTTTTTCAGATCGGTTGGGAGTTCGCGAGAAACTGCAATGAAACTCGCAGCTCAGACAGATCTCCTGAACTCCACGTCCGATGCCTCCTGCCACTTGAGCAGCCCACAGCCCACATGCAACATGTGATGGCCTGTATAGAGACCTGCCAGGCATCGATCCATCCAAAATCCAGTGCTGCTTGAGCTTTTGCCTCTGTCATCTACGACCGCTCGCCACTGCAAGCAAGACACGAAGCCTCCCAAAACCCAAAACCCAACACCCTAATCTCCCTAAATCCTAATCTCCCTAAACCCTAAACCCTAAACCCTAAACCCTAAACCCTAAACCCTAAACCCTAAACCCTAAACCCTAAACCCCCCCTCCGAATGCGCGGCAGGTCACCGTCCAAGCTCTGCAGGAATTGATAGGCACGCGCCCCGAGTCGCCCGAGCTGTCTTGAACAGAGCAACATGTTCAACCCGCCTTATAAGCCCCAAGCCTTATAAGCCCTAAGCCCTAAGCCCTAAACCCTAAACCCTAAACCCGAATCTCCCCCTTTGAGGTATGGATGTGCAGGAGGCCGAGGCAAAGAAGATGGAGGCGCCAATCCCCTGTGCGGGCGTCTCGGGGGTGTCGGGGGTGCTATCCGTGAGGTGGAAGCAGCAGCGAGAGAAGCCCAGGACCGTGCGCAGTGGGTTTAGGGTTTAGGGTTTGTGCCTTGCAGCCTTGCCGGATCCTGCAATCCTTGCTAAACCCCCGACAAACCCTCTTCCCAACGGGCGTCCACTCCCCCCGCCCCCCCACACCAGCCCGCAAGCCCTGTCAGGAGACTGCGCCAAAGGCAGCGTCACCCAAGGCAGGCCGAAGCTGAAGACTACAATAATACGACATGAATACTGTAATCTGAAAATACAAAATATAGAAAATTTATCAGCATAATATTATTCATAATATGAATTATGTTTCTTCAAGCCAGTACTACAGTGGACACGAGTTGTTAAACCATGGAAAGCGATATGGGCCCTACCTAAAGCGATAACATCAGCTTGCACATTTAGATGGGTGCATCCCACAGTCCCATAGTATGTAAAGCCATATGGGCCCCACGTAAAGTGAGAACATGGTATTCCGCGACCTCACACCGTGTAAAGTGATTTTGTCTGGCGCTCATATAAGAATATCTCAGTACCACCACTTGTGGGGTAAGTTGAAGGTTTACAAGGCAAAAGGGACCTTCACTTGAAGCAACCCGCATCACACCCACTGTGCTCCTTGTGACTTTCTTCTGCAGCCACAGAGCCCCCATGTACTAGCTCTTCAAAACCTGGGGCCTTCGGCTTTTAGGGTTTAGGTGCGCGAATTTTGAGAGGGGGCCCCGAAGACCTAATCCCAAGCCCTCTACACTCTACACTCTACACTCTACACCCGAAACCCTAAACCCTAAACCCTAAACCCTAAACCCTAAACCCTAAACCCTAAACCCTAAACCCTAAACCCTAAACCCTAAACCCTAAACCCCTAGCCCACCACGCCCTGGGGAAGTGCCCTGAGGCGAAGCGAGCCAAGCAGTCTGCGTCCGAGTCACCGGGAAGACGAATCGTCGGGAAATCGGCCAAAGCAGCAGGTTCAGAGGCGGGCTCGTTGCCCTAAACCCTGAACCCCAAAACCCTAAACTCTAAACCCTGGAAGTGTTCTTGCAAGCACTGCGACTTGGACTTCGGCTGTTGAGTTGTTTTTTTGGACTTGTCAGGTGGCAGACGCAGCTGAGGCACCACCGCCGGAAAAGCGAAAATAGTTCTAATTTCGCGTGTTCCCTTGTAAATGACCCGATTTCAACCAGGGCTTCTGACAGGTTTGCTCAGACACGAACTTCTCCCTCTTTGAGACAGGAACGAGACTCATGAACATGACTACTGTGGGTACCTTCTGAACGTAGAAAGCGTAAATGTTCGCGGCAGGACAGACAGGTGGGATGGATTCAGGGTCTCAAGGTGTGACAGGGAAAGAGCGGTTAACCTGTACTTGTTGCCCCCCGGAATTTTATGGGGTTTACGCAAATAAGGGACCCATAATATAGACTCCCAAATGGTGGAAACCCTCCTCCCCCCCCTCCACCGAGCTCAAAACTGGGCTAAAGTTGCAGATGGATGTGGGGAGGCCAGGGGGGGGAGGGGGAAGGGAATCCTGGGCTGAATGACTGGGGCGCCAGGTATCAGCCAAAGTTGCAGATGCGAAGAAAGAGGCCGGGGGCACTTGTGGCATCGCAAGCGGCGCGCACGAAGCGTGCGGAGAACGATTGTGGCGCGAGCAGTTTCAACGAGGTGGAGACAGCAGCGGAGTCCACGGCTTACCTTCACCTACTATTTGCTTAAGAACCACCCCCCCCCAGAAAGATAAGAAGGTAGTAATCCCTATGTCTCTTACCCTTATTGGGAAGAATATTTTCTTTGGGAGGGGGGGTTTCTTTAAGCAAGTAGTAGCTTTAAGGGAGGTTCTGAAAGCCGGGGCGGAGCTTTGGAGCATCTTCAAAAGCCCTCCGAGGTCGAAGCACCCTGCTCCGAAGGCAAGGTCTCTAAGATGCGTAAGAGCCAAGTTACATGATGATTATACGGCTTCATGGTCGTGTCATTGAATTATGACATTATTATATGTTTTGTGTCTCATCTTTATGCCATTGTATTATTCGATTTTGTTAATATATGTATAACATGGAGCTCATGGTTGCACCCTGCAGACCTGCGCATCCTTGTGTAATCTGCCGTTAGCGGCCTTCGCATCACACTGTGCAGCCAGATCTCAGCTCCCCTCACCTACTTGTAGTGTAAGAACGGACTCTATACATGTTTGCACGTCCACCCTTTGCCCGCACGTAAACACCTGTGGTGCCGTGCCTTCCCTCGCGATGCGCGGCTGATGCTGCCGTGGCGCGGGCCATGCGAATCTCCAGCGACGAGCACACCTTCCACGACGACGACCTAGACAGCCGGACTCCTCCTGCCAGGCAGCTTCCCCCAATGTGCAGTGCACCTGGTACGTCGAAGTTACAAGTCCTGGTAGCCGAGACTCTACTGGTTTCCTGCTAGGCAAGTTCAACCACAGTTTGAGGGCCGCAGCCTTAGCATGAGGGCTAAAACCAAATGACCTCAAAAGAGGGAGGCCCTAAACCCTAAACCCTAAATCCTATTAAACCCTAAACCCTAAACCCTAAACCCTAAACCCTAAATCCTAAACCCTAAACCCTAAACCCTAAACCCTACCTGAGGTTCTGAGAGCCCCCACGGTGAGAAGGGCGATGAGGGTGGCTTTGAGGCTGTGGCAGAGCCCGAGGCACCGGGGGGGGGGGGGGGGGAGTTTAGGGTTTAGGGTTGAGGGTTTAGGGTTTAGGGTTTAGGGCGTGGAGGGGGGAAGGGGTTGCTCTTTTCGAGGTACCTGTATTTTGCCAACCACTACATACTGGTACTCCTGTTGCTAGAATTATGATTACGGTTATGTTTCATGATTATTGTCATGAACACCTAGACCCTAGGGTTTCTAAACCCGAAACCCGAAACCCTAAACCCTAAACCCAGAATCACACCTCCGAGGCACCTCCGAAGCAAGAGGAGGAGGCCGCGGTGCCGTCGGAGAATCCGGGAGCTTATAGGAGTCAAGAGCATGCGATCTCATAAGATGCCGCCGACAACCATAAATGCCCTTAGGGTTTGGGGTTTAGGGTTTGGGGTTTAGGGTTTAGGGTTTAGGGTTTAGGGTTTAGGGTTTAGGGTTTAGGGTTTAGGGTTTAGGGCTAAAGACCCTTAAAACCCTAAGAACCCTAAAAACCCTAAAAACCCTACGCCGACCCACAGGGCGTCTTCGAGATTCGCGACTTCACCAACGCATCCGCCTTCGAGCGCCTCTCGCCACGGGCTTGGCCTTGCTTCTGTGAAACCAAGAAGTCTTACATAGGTTTAGGGTTTAGGGTTTAGGGCTTAGGGTTTAGGGCTTAGGGTTTAGGGTTTAGGGTTTAGGGTTTAGGGTTTAGGTTGTAGGGTTTACATAACCCCAGGGCCTCAAGTGGAAGCTGACCTAAGTTATGGGGCCTTTTTTTGGCACCCTGAGTTGTGTGTAAGGGCCATACTGCAACAGGAACCGCCAGAAACGGACCATAATCTAGAATCAGCTTCAGGGTCTAAGGTTTAGGGTTTAGGGTTTAGGGTTTGGATTTTAGGGTTAATACCCCAAACCGTCGAACCCCAAGCCCTGAGGCACCAGATCTCACTGGCGGCCAAGCGTTGGGCGGCGGCTCTCAAAGATGCACAGGCAACCGGGAAGAATACCGGTTGAGGGTTGGGCCTTAGGGTTGAGGGTTTCTGCCTTCAAGTTCAACCCTCTGCCCCAAAGCGAGTTCCATCCTCAGCCCCAAAAGCGGGTTAGCAGGGACGCTTTGGCCCCAGCCCTAAGCTCCCATAACCTCGCCGCAGATGGTCAGGTGGGAAGCAACGAGGACGTGCTGCAGATGAAGGAGAGCTTCGACCATGCCAACTTCCGGTACTACAGCCAGCGGGGTTTGGTAACAACTGCGGTGTACTGCACGCTTCAGAATGTGAAGAAGCGCAATGGTTGCAGGTACGAGCTGTTCTTCCACTTGGCTCCTATGGGAACGGCAGAGAAGAAGGCTTGCACAAGAGTGGTATTCGTCATTTGCCTTTTGCCATCTTCCAGAAGTCTGATGTAGATGAGGGCAGCGTGTGTGTAACCGGCTTTTGAAAGGATCGCCTGGGACTTCACGCGTTTCCAACCCGTGCCCACCGAGTGCAGAGGTGGTTCGGGGTGAGGCACGTGGAGCGCATGGCGCGTGCAAGCCGAGGGCCATGTCCCGGGTAGCGCGACGCGGGATTCGCGCTGAAGAGCGCCATGTTATGGTAAAGTGCACGCAGGCACTTCGTGTTTGTCTCGCTGCACAACCACAACATCGACATCGACAGCGCCAGGCTCGTCTCCGCTCACTTCATGTGCTATTGGGAGGGGCGGGATGAAGAACCACCCCCTAAACCCTAAACCCTAAACCCTAAAGGACGATGCTGGGTGCTGCGGCCCTGGCAGTGCGCAGTGCAAGCTTCCCGCTGCCCCTCAGCTGCTTCGTTCCAATCGACGGAGGCCAGATGTTGACAGGTCAGGACTCCAAGTCCTAGAACCCTAAACCCTATAAACCTATCAACCCTATAAACCCTAGAAACCCTAGAAACCCTATAAACCCTATAAACCCTAGAAACCCTAGAAACCCTAGAAACCCTATAAACCCTATAAACCCTATAAGCCCTAGAAACCCTATAAGCCCTATAAACCCTACAAGCCCTATAAACCCTGTAAACCCTGAAGCCTGAAACCCTCAACGTTCGGCAAAAACCCGAAGCCCCTAGTCAACCGCAGGCCGGAGGCGCGTGCTGGGCGAGCTGCTTGACAGCCGGTGCCGTGTGCTCTACACCACCGACCTCCAGCATACGGTAACTTAGGGATACATGGAATATTTGTTTTAATTGTTGGGCACTCTACTTCCTCAGAAACAGCAAAAACTAGAATCTTCTTGCTAGGGTTCCAGGTTCAGTATAGGTAAGCGGTACCTTCGACAACCTTACGGGACTCGCGGACTTCTTCTGGCAGAAGATGGAGGCGAGCCCCCAAGATCCGCAGAACACGCTCATGGTCGGGGCTCGCTTTACGTACTCGGCTGATACCTTTGACCCGCTGCCACTGGAAGGTGAGTTGAATGCGCGGGCTGGGGACGATCCGGTCGAGTCCTGCAAGCTGCACTGCCTTTGGCCATCGTTTCCCTTCGGGGCCTTTGGTGACGATTCGAATTTCTCAGAGCTGGACGCCAGAGCGGCGCCCTTCTGGAAGCTTCGTGTCCTTCGGAAGGACTCCACAGCCTTGCCTCTTACGGGCAGGTTGCGCATTCTGCTGGATTTCCGGAAGGAGGCTCAGACCGTGCGCTCGGCTGAACACAGCCTGCAGCCTTCCGTGCCAAAGACCGCGATGGCTTCCCTTACGGCGACGATTCAGGAGTCCTTGGAATCCATCTTGCTGCCCACGGGCGGCGAGATGCTGCAAATGGTGGAGAGCTGCATGAGCTGCCCCGTTTTTCATGACAACCCCGTGCCCCTTTCTCCGCTGAGGCTCGGTTTATGGAGCATCTTCTGTGGTCATCTGTATTTATATTGTGCTCTTAGATGATGATCTGAACATGGGATGAATTTTGATGATGAATCTATTGCGAGAATCGATGTTCTTTAAACGGGCTCTATAAGAACAGCTGAGGAAAGCCGTGCAGGGTGCGCGGGCGGGTGATCGCCTCTCACGACTAGCAGAGTATAGCTCGACCATGCGGTGCTTCAAGGGCAGCGTGATCCTTGGGGAGCCAATTCAGTCCGGAGATTTTTAAACATTGGCAATAATGAGTAACTCGTTGTTTAACATCTACTAGGGTATATCATGATCCCAAATCTGGAGTCCCCCAAAAGGATGCTTTGGTGTGGTATCCTGGCGCGCATGCGCAGCCAATGGGACGCCTTGGAGGCCCCCGAAGGCCCGCAAGCACCCACACATCGAGTCAATGCGAGGGGCACGCGCACGGAGTTCTTCGACCTGGGCGTGTGCTTCTGGGATGCGCAGTTGGCACCCAGACTTCTCGTGTTTTTGAGGGGTTTGGCTCACTTCTGAAACCAAAAAAGCCCCAAAAAGGCATCCTTTTTTGCCCCAGGTTCTGGAGAATCCCCAAGCCCAGACCCAAACTATCCCAAACCCGAACAAACTCCAAACCCAAAACCCTTAAAAGCCCCCCTAAACCCCCTTAAGCCCCCCAAAAACCCCCTAAGCCCCTAAAGCCCCCTTAAACCCCCCCTAAACCCCCCTGAGCCCCCTAACGCCCCCCATGAACTCCCCAAAACCCCCCCAAGAGCCCCCCCCCCCCCCCCCCCCCCCCAAGGCCCAAAGACCCCCGAGGCTTGGTGCAGCAGAAGCTGGAGCTCCTCCAGCGCAGCATCTCGGAGCAGAGGAGGAACCTCCAGTCTGCTCCTGGGTTTACAGTTTGCTGTTTCGGGGGGTTTAGGTAAGGTGAGGGTTTAGGGTTTAGGGTTTAGGGTTTAGGGTTTAGGGTTTAGGGTTTAGGGTTTAGGGTTTAGGTTTTAGGGTTTAGGGTTTAGGGTTTAGGGTTTAGAGTTTAGGGTTTAGGGTTTAGCGTTTAGGGTTCCTTCTGACGTACCAGATGTTTTAGGGGTTGAAGGTTTTACAACCCCGAACCCCATACGCCCCAGTGGCCCGAAAAAAAACCCTGTGAACGCCCATAAGCCCTGATAAACGTTAGAGGCCCTAGAAGCCTAAACCCTCTACCCCCCAAAAAAAACCCTAAACCCTATATCCCTAAACCCTATGAACCTATGAACCCTATGAACCTATGAACCCTATAACCCTATAACCCTATAACCCTATAGCCCTATAACCCTATAACCCTATGAACCCTATAACCCTATAACCCTATAACCCTATAACCCTATAGCCCTTAACCCTAAACCCTAGAACCCTATAGCCCTTAACCCTAAACCCTAGAATACCCCCAACAAACACCCAGGTTCCAGAGGCAGAGGGCTTCTACCTGGCAGAAGACGGCGAGCAGCGAAGGGCGCCCGAGTTGCTCTCCCCCCCTCTACTCACGGAGGATTCAAGGGGTTCAGGGTTTCAGGGTTTAGGGGTTTAGGGTTTAGGGTTTAGGGTTTAGGGTTTAGGGTTTGGGGTTTGGGGTTTAGGGCTTGGGGTATTATAGAGGAGTTGGAGGTATGAGGTTCAGGGTTTCCATACCTGGTTCCCCCTAAGGTTGTGGTTTTTGGGGGTTTGGAGAATCTTTGACAGGAGCTCTCAGGGAATATTGGGACAAACCCTAAACCCTAAACCCTAAACCCTAAACCCTAAACCCTAAACCCTAAACCTGAAGCCGATAAGTAGGAGGATATGGAAAAGCAACCAAGGAGGGCTTCCAAGTGCACCCTTTAAGGGGCACTCTCCCAAACCCCAGGCCCAGGTTTAGGGTTTAGGGTTTAGGGTTTAGGGTTTAGGGTTTAGGAGGGCTTCCAAGTGCACCCTTCCTTTAAGGGGAACTCTCCTAAACCCTCCTCATCCTGCGCTCCCAACATCCCTAAAGCCCTTTGAAGCGGGCGCCCTGAACCCTAGACCTCAGACCCAAAACCCAAAACCCCAAACCCCAAACCCCAAACCTCAAACCCCAAACCCTAAACCCTAAACCCTAAACCCTAATCCCTAAACCCTAAACCCTAACTAAACCCTACACGCTGAATCCTAAGCAGGATGTGCTCCTGCAGCGAGACACGGCCTCCGCAAGCCTGGGTCCGGCGGAGCGTGCGGAGCTCTGCGGTAGGGAGATGCGCAGCGACCTTCAGTTGCACCTGATACATCTTTTTTTTTGAACGGGGGGGGGGGGGGGGGGGCGGGGGGCTTCTGAAAAAAACGTGACTTTGTATATTACTAGATGTGGGTATATCTGATTGCATCATTATGTATGAATATACCTATCAATTTAAATACATATTGCAGTTTTGGCACCAAGGTTGTCGGCAGGGGTTTAGGGTTTATAGGGTTTAGGATTTAGGACACACTTACGGTACTCGCCTGGCTTCGAGGGTTACGCTCAGTAGGATCAAAGCCCTTTCGGCGCAAGTATGCCCCAAGTCCCACGTGGACTATGTATCCCTCGGTGTACCTGGGGATGTCCGAAAAGGCTTGTCTTCAAGATTCGCGCAAGGGAAACTGCGCGGCCTCGTAGAGCGAGGAGGAGGATTGTTCAGCTTTGCTGTTCTTTTCCTCGTTGTACATAAACACACCTGCATACACATATATATATATATACACACACGCACTTTTTTTGTTGTGGGGGGTGGGGGGTGGGGGGGTGTACTATGAGACTATATGTATAGTCCCGCTTCCCGGCGGGCCGCGGGGTCCAACCCATCCAGGACGAGATTGGGGACCAAGAACGATCGTTCTTTACATATAATACATATGTATATATATATATATATGTTTATAAATTTTTTGTCATACATATATATGTCCGTGAATAGGGTACCCCCGCCCCTGATCTACCTTGTTCATGCCTTTTTTCAATGCCTGCTTCACAATGAAGGTACTCACCTACCGAACCGTCTGCGTCACAATGACATCACACTGGGATCATAACTCGAATCGTTCGCTTTGTAGGGCTGGCAGGCTCGGAAGCATTTCGTACACATGTGAAACTGAAGATGGGTGATTCCTGGGGAGGAATCTTCGGTTGTGGCTTTCAAGCTACGTTAAAGCATCTTTTGACATGTTTGGAATATTCTTTCGTTTTTTTGAGGATTCCTGGGGAACTTGTTCGAGGAATCTCAGATCGTGGCCTTCAAAATCATCAGATTTTCGAATTCCACAATCAAAGATTTCTTGAAGACCTTGCGCGGAATCTTTATCATCTTCAGCCCAGTCTTTTAAAGTGATTCCAGCCTTTTAAAATGCTTAGTAGCTGAATGAGTACACTTTACACTTTTTGGGGTACTACAATCCCCTATAGAACTGAAAGTGTACACTTTGGGGGGCTTATGAACTCAGCAAGTTAGAATGATTCTTAACCAATATTTAAGAAGCATTTTTTGAAGGCCACAATCGAAGATTCCTCGAGCAACTTCCCGAAAAATATGCAATCTTCAATTTGCCAGTTTAAGCTGTGGGTAAACAGGTTTTAACACATCACTATATATTCTCGAGCCTGTCATCGGCAGTCTAAACGTGAGTTCTGTGGGATACGTCTCTATACCGTACAGTTGCATGGGATAGGTACACCAACACGCGCCTCCTGGATTCAAGATGCAAGTTTTCCCTAAAACCTATACCTTGAAAGGATCCGAGAGCCAAAAGACATGGGATCTGGAATCCTTTAGCCTTTAACATCTTGGCTCTTGGGTCGAATTTTGGACCTCATACAGTCTTTTAGGCTCCTGAATCTTGGATTCTGTTAGGGTGCAGGGCCGTTTAGGGTGGAAGAAAATAGACGTACCTTACATTTGTGATTTGAAGGGTTGTTTGAAAGGCGAATAAGGGTAGAAGGAGACGCCATAGTTGACTTATCTACAGCATTCGGGGATTTAAAGGGCTTCTGTCAGAAGCAAACAAGTATTTTTCTTTCCTATACCACACCTGGAGGCCTGCGCAGCCCACATCATAGTTCCTCAAGATAGAATTTTTCCCTCCCCTCGCAGTGGGTCCCCAAAAGGGGGTCCCCTAATTTTCGGAAGCCCACGGCACTAGGGTTCTTCATTCTGACTTAGTGAAGCATATCCCTTTTGACTTTTGGGTCCTCACGGCTTAAGCCAACACTGAACTCCAAGCCCACACCCTAAACCCTAAACACCAATCCCCAAACACCCTAAACCCTAAACCCTGAACCCTGAACCCTGAACCCTAACCCTGAACCCTAAACCCTAAACCCTAAACCCTAAACCCTAAACCCTAAACCCTAAACCCTAAACCCTAAACCCTAAACCCTAAACCCTAAACCCTAAACCCTAAACCCTAAACCCAGGACATGGCCGCCTTCAAGGCTGCACAGCCAGCTTCGCGGCTCCCGGACTTCGCCTACTGGCGCCGCTCACCGAACTCCTGAAGCCTAGGAGTTTAGGGTTTAGGGTTTGGGGTTTAGGGTTTAGGGTTTGGGGTTTAGGGTTTAGGGGTTTATGGGTTTAGGGGTTTATGGTTTAGGGTTGGGTGTTTAAGGGTTTAGGGGTTTAGCGGTTTAGGGGTTAGGGGCTTAGGGTTTAGGAGACGCACTGAAGATCAACCTTTAACTTCTTCGGGTCTTGTCGTTAGGGTTTTAGAGGTTTGGGCTTTAACCTGTAAAGAAAATTCCCAAAGGCCAACCTTCAGAAACAGAGCACCCTTGTGATTCCTAGGAAATTTGGGAACCCTTAGCCTTAGCCCTAAACCCAAACCCTAAACCCTAAACCCTAAACACGTTTCTTTCTGGGGCACCTCGGATCCACTCTTTGCCTCTCAGGTCGGAGCGTTTTGGGTCTGAGCTTGGATCCTTTCCCCGAGGACCAGGGATCATGGTCTAGGGTTTGGGGTCTGGGGTTTGGGGTTTACGCTGCGGTTTGGGGTTTAGGGTTTAGGGTAGTTTACGGTTTAGGGTTTGGGGGTTTAGCGGTTTCGGGGTTCAGGGCTTTAGGGGCTAAGGGGCTTAGGGAAGTCTAGGGTGCTCTTGGGCGTTATGGGGATCTGGAGCTTGAGGATGTGGGGTTCCGGGTGTAGGGCGAATGAGGTCTTTAGGTCCAGTATTCCTGAACCCTAAACCCTAAACCCCTAACCCTAACCCCTAAACCCCTAGACCCCTAGACCCCTAAAGCCCTAAAGCCCTAAACCCCTAAACCCCTAAACCCCTAAACCCCTAAACCCCTAAACCCCTAAACCCCTAAACCCTAAACCCAGGACTGGCTGCAGACGCTCTGGGACGAGACCGCGCCAAAGCTTGGACCTGAGCCTTCTCGGGGCTTTCAAGGGGATTTGCAGCTCCCAGAAACTTAGCGGGTACACCCTCAGCCTAAACCCTAAACCCTAAACCCTAAACCCTAAACCCTAAACCCTAAACCCTAAACCCTAAACCTCAGCACCTATACGAATCTACGTGGAGGGTTCTGTTTTTATGGGGCGCTCCATATGCTCTAATTCTCTGCACATGGAATTCTTAAGTTTGTTTCACCTAGCGATCTCCGCTCGGTAAGTTTCATGGAAGCTCCATACGCACCATAGGGGTTAGGCTTGAGGGTTTGGGGGTTTCCAAAGATGCGGGTCCCTTACTGGGAGGTTACTATCATGAGGACTACAGTATTATGGGGGCAATCTTGGACCAGCTTTAGTCTGTTCCCCCCCCCCCCCCACCCCCGAACAGTCCAAGCTGGTTTTCGCTCTGTAGAGACGTCCTGAGGATTTCAAAGGATTTTAGTAGGGAGGAGTTTGTATGAGTTTAACGGAACAGCGAGGCCCGGCAACTGATTTTAAAGGTGCGCTGCACGAAATTGGCTTGCGACACCTGACTTTAAGGCAGGTCCTGGTCTGCACCCCCAAGCAGTCAGGGTGTCCTGAAAAGTCCGGCCAACTTGACTTTGTAGAGGGTATCTCTCTTAAACCGCGTCCAACATTATCGAAGGGGCTTGAAATCATTTTGGGAACTACCCATTTAGGGCCCCGAAAGTCCAACCCTCTGGGTGCTCACACTTCGCAACAGTAGAGCAATTTGCCGAAGGTCAGCTTCGATGCAGCAGGCGGGTTTGTTTAGCCAGGGCTGACCTGGGTTCTCTAAACCCTAAAGCCTAAACCCAAACCCTAATGCCTAATTAAACCTGAAGGGTTTAGGGTTTATAATTGGGGTCTAGGGTCCAGGCAGGATGTATAGGGTTCATATTACGGGGCTACTCGGGTTTGTAGCTCTAAGTTCTGCATGGGTTTCCCAAAAAACTGTACGTCTGGTAGACCTCGGGTGGACCTCCGAGTTCATAAGTCATCCGAGGAACCGTTTAGGGTTTAGGGTTTAGGGTTTTCGGGTTAGGGCCACATACCTCAGCCAGGTTTTGGTGCAGATGTGGCGCATGCACGCGTTGATCTGTGCATTTCCTTAACATAGCTGCGCTCCTGGTGTGTACCCGAAAACCTTGCTCTACAAGCCATCTCTAGTTTTTTCTTTTGCGCCCCTCCGCGCCCAAGCCCTCAAACTCTGGGCCCCAAGCCCTAAACCCTAGCTAGGCTCTGAACCCTAAATCCTCAACCCTCAACCCTCAACCCTCAACCCTCAACCCTCAACCCTAAACCCTAAACCCTAAACCCTAAACCCTAAACCCTAAACCCAGCCCAATCCAAGCGTCAGAACCATGCCAGGTCAAGCTTTTCGAGCCGGAGCGTGAAGCAGAGATGGCACTCCACTACTTGGAGAGCATTGAGGCAGGGGCCTCCTTCTCTTTAGGATTTGGTTTAGGGTTCGGGTTTAGAGTTTAGGGTTTAGGGTTTGTGGTTGAAGCAAAAAGAGGGGTTAAGGGTTTAGGGTAAACTATTTTTTTGCATCTCCTTGGAAGCTTCTACCGTATTCAACAGATACCACAAGGGAACCCTACCTAGAGTACCATGGAAACTCTCTCAAGGGCTTCTAGTTTTTTCGGCTGGTTCTCAAAACTAGGGTCCCTTTTTGGATCCCCTTAAAATGCGAACCCGGAAAGGGACCCCAATTTAGGGAACCTCCCAATTTAGGGAACCTTCTCTGTGGTGGAGGGCTTGCAACTGCTGCTGCAGCTCTTCCGCGTCCTTCTCAAAAACACAATCCAGGAGCATCGCAGGGAGGCCGCTTTGTGGCTCCCCATGTTAGGAGTTCCCAGATGCAGCTGGGGCTTAGGGTTTGGGGGGCGTAGGGTTTGGGGGGATTAGGGATTAGGGTCTAGGGTTTAGGGGCTGCTGCAACCTCGTAACCCGACCTTTCAAGCCTCATCTGAGCGCGCCTTCCACTTTTAAACCTCTAAGCCCAGCAAGGGGCCACGCAACAATGACAAACTTCAGACGAGGGCTTGAGAAGGCTTCAAGTATCAAGGCCTCATTGAAAAAGTCGGGAGGCAGGAGCTCTTCTGTTGAAGGGAAACATCCGTTCCTTGAAACTTCAATCCTAAGCCCCAAAAGCCCTGTAAACGCGTGGATCTAGCCCATCCCCAAACACAACCTAAGCGTCTGCATCCCGAAGACGAAATGCTCAATTCGCGCCGGGTCTCCGGCTCAGAGGATTCCAACTACGATGCAGCCTTCTCCACATCTCTCTCGCTAGGGTTTAGTGTTTGGATTTAACATACGGTGTTTAGAAGCTGTGGGCTTTGCAGGGCATGTAAGGTGGGCTTTAGGCTTGTGTAAGGGTTCAAGGCTTAGGGTTGTTGAAGGTTTACGTAAGGGCTCAGGACCCACAGCACGCAGACTTTTGTCCTCGCCCTCACACACCAGCTTACACCCTAAACCCTAAACCCTAGTCCCTAGACCCTAGACCCTAAACCATAAACCCCATAAACCCTAAACCCTAAACCCTAAACCCTAAACGCAGCTGACGACAGGATCTCAGCGCCCAAGTTGTCCCGAGAGCGACAGAGACGACTTGCCCACCATACTTGCGGATGCTCGCCGCCCAGGTTTGTTCCGCTACAAGCGGGTAGGTTCAGTCGTATCTTCTTGTGTAAAGTCGTATCTCGGGCGCGTGCACACTGTGGATTCGCGAATTCCAAGATTGGTCAGAACCCACTCGCACCCCCAAGCAGAAATCTCATTCACGCTGACAAAAATGTGCTCCCGTCCCAGGCGTGCGGTGACAAGTGCGTATTTTGCATGTGTGTCGAGAACATGCGCGCGTGCACATTGGGGGAAAGGCTTCAACATATATGTCTCTGTGATGCGACTTTACGCGGGGTGATGTGACTTCGTAGCCCTAAACCCTAAACCCTAAACCCTAAACCCTAAACCCTAAACCCTAAACCCTAAACCCTAAACCCTAAACCCTAAACCCTAAACCCTAAACCCTAAACCCTAAACCCTAAACCCTAAACCCTAAGTGGGCTCCTTGAAGGTTTGACGCCTGCTGCTTAGGCTGCGCGACCGGGTTCTTTCGGCAACGACGAGCGCCTTCAGCTGGAGAGGAGCGCCCGATGCCACAACCCACCCAAATAGCTTGGAGGTTCATGGTACTAGGGGCTTAGGGTTTAGGGTTTAGGGCTTGGAACTGCGCATTTCTCCTAACATAGGCTCCCGCCCTCTGGGGTAATTTAGGGTTTAGGGTTGAGGGTACCCAACAAAGGGCCCATACACCCCAAGACCTACAGCCGCAGCTGCAGGCAGCCAGAGCAGTCAGGGAAATGGAGGTGCTCACCAGCCGGATGCCAAGAAATGCAGTCTGAGAGGTTTAGGGTTTCAGGGTTTCAGGGTTTCAGGGTTTTAAGGTTTCAGGGTGTAAGGGCTTAGGGTTTTTGGGGTTTAAGGGTTCAAGGGTCTTTAGGGTCTAATGGTTTAGGGTTTAAGGGTTTTAAGGGCTTCTAAGGGTATCCCATGCAGTGTGTTGTACCACACCAAGGTTGGATGGCGCCGAAGTGGATGCCGAGGTGGGGCTAGAAAGGGTCATGACCTGAAACCCTAGGGTTTAGGGTTTAGGGTCCCTAAACCCTAAACCCTAAACCCTATACCCTATACCCTATACCCTATAAACCCTAAACCCTAAACCCCACATGTTTATCATAAGTCTTTGCTGAGGAGGCTCTGGTCGGCGAGTCGGCGGAATTTCCGGGCGAGGACGCCCGGCGTGCAGCTCTCAAGAGATGCGTCGAGATGTGTGGGGAGGGGTTGGGGTTTAGGGTTTAGGGTTTAGGGTTGAGGGTTGAGGGTTGAGGGTTTAGGGTTTAGGGTTCAGGGCTTAGGGTTTAGGGTTTAGGGTTTAGGGTTTAGGGTTTAGGGTTTAGGGCTTAGGGCTTAGGGCTTAGGGCTTAGGGCTTCGGCTTAGGGGGCTTAGGGTTTAGGGCTTGGAGGCTTTCAACGGTTCACGAAGCGGCAGGAGCAGCTGCAGACCATCTTGGCTACGCTGGAGGTCTTTGAGTCCTCGATTCGTACCTCACTTGGCAAACAGAGACTATTCTTCCTTAAAGGAGTATTACGGGGATTATCAACAACCTCCCAAAAAAGGAGACTATTCTTCCTTAAGAGGGTAATTTGGGGATTATTGAGAATTTCCAAAATGCAGAGACTATTCCCTCAAAAGGGTACTTTTGGGAGTATTATTCCTTCATCTGTTGGGGTTTCTAAACCCTAATACCTAAACCCTAAACCCTAAACCCTCAAGCCTTGAGACTGCAGAGCCCAAAGCGCAAAAGCCCTATCCTGACCCCACCTAGAAGCCACTCAAGGCCTCCCAAAATCCTCAAACCCCAAGCCCCTAAACCGCAAACCCTAAACCCCAAACCCCAAACCCTAAACCCTAAACCCCAAACCCTAAACCTAAACCCCAAACCCTAAACCCCAAACCCTAAACCCCAAACCCTAAACCCTAAACCGTCAACCCAACGGCCCCAAAAAGGCCCTCCGAGAGCCCCCTCTTGGAGGTTCATGGTGCTTTTTAACCAACTGTACGTATAAATGTACTTATAACTGTACTTATATAAACCATATTGGGGCAGTTGAGGGGTTCAGTGTGGGTTATTCCTAAACCCTAAACCCTAAACCCTAAACTCCAAACCCTAAACCCTAAACCCTCAACCCTCAACCCTAAACCCTAAACCCCAAACCCTAAACCCTAAACCCTATCAGTACAGCTAGACTTGGTTAATAAGTACCATGAACCTCCGAGCTCAGAGGCCTTGCCTCGTCTCTTCGAGCGAAGCTTGGTCAAGATGCCGAGGTGCGGACCATAATAGAGGGGTTTAGGGTTTAGGGGGTTTAGGGGGTTTAGGGGGTTTAGGGGGTTTAGGGTTTAGGGGGTTTAGGGTTTAGGGTTAGTTACCAATAGCATTCGCTTATGGTCCCTTCATAGTTGTACTACAATAAGCAACCCTTCTCTAACTATTAAGGCAACTATATTCGAGGTCACCGGAAGGGTTTTTGTTGCGGTTTAGGGTTTAGGGTTTAGGGTTCAGGTTTAGGGACAGGAAGTGTTTGGGGCCCGGGGTTTAGGATTTAGGGTTTAGGGTTTGGGGCTTCGGGTGTAGGGTTTAGGGCAATGCCCTACCTTCTACAGTAGGGAAGAGTCTGCATCTTGGTCCTCTGAATTCTTTTTGTAAACCCTAAACCCTAAACCTTCCTGGATCTTTGCGATGAGGCCTTGCTGGAAGAGCTGCTCACCGAGGGCGAGGAGTGGGGTCTGGGAGAGTGCATGGCTTTGAGCCTCAATCTGCCTAAATTCGGGCGGTTTGGGGTTTGGGGTTTAGGGTTTACGGTGTGGGGCTTTGAAAGCCCTAAACCCTAAACCCTAAACCCTAAACCCTAAACCCTGCGGGAGGTTGACATCACACTCCCTGAGCAGCGGAAAGCAGTGGAGAGGCGCCCTCGGGGAACACGCTGGGCTCAACATGGATGGTTCTAGATTGGGGCCCCCTTTTTTTTGGGTGTAGTGTTTAGGGTCTAATTAGGGTTTGCGGTTTGGGGTTTAGGGTTTAGGGTTAGTTGGGATGTTCCCCAGTATACTAACAGTCCTTAATAGGCATTTTCGTAACCCCCTATGAGATTCCCCATTAAGGACTGTTAGTATAAGGGGGAACGCCCCAAACTATGTGCTTAAGAGCCCCGCCAAAGAATAAGCGAATAATCCCTATATTGCCCTTATAAGGAAGAATACGTCCAATCTTCTTTGGGGGGGGGGGGGTTCTGAAGCAACTAGTAGCTGTTCTCCCTCCACATGCGGCATGTTGCCCTTGACCTATCTTCGTCGGCATGGCAGGCTTTTTGCGCGAAGCCGCATCCTCGAAAGAGACCAGGATCGTGGCATGCCTTGGCATCACATGGGAAGTTCACGAAAATAGGGGGCTCCCGCCCAATGTAGATCCCCAAATAGTAGGGAGCCCGTTATAGTAAGGACCCCAATAAGGTACCCCGAATATAGTAAACCCTAAACCCTCAACCCTAAACCCTAAGCCCCTAAACCCCTAAACCCCTAATCCCTAAACCCTAAACGTATAAACCCCCCACATTGCGGCCGGCTAGAGCCCGGATCGAAGCTTCGGCGAAGGACGAAGATGAGGACGACGATGAGACGGAGTTGCTGGGTCACGCCCTCGGCATCAAGACTACGTGCATGGGCTATTGCACCCCAAACCCTAAGCCCTAAACCGCAAATCCTAAACCTTAAACCCTGAACCCTAAATCCCTAGCCCTAAACCCCTAGGCCCGAAACCCGGCACATGTACCAAGTATGTACCTAGGCGTGGTCGGCAGCCTGCCTTTGGCGAAGGACGTGTGCAAGCTATATGGGTAGCGCTCTAAATTAGGGTCCCTTCTTGGGGTCCCTGAATAGTGTATATAGTGTTTAGGGTTTAGGGTTTAGGGTATATCATACGGCACCTTATAAACAGGACCCACCCTAAATTATGGAGAGCTACCCAGAAAGAGGACTCTTGCAGGCAGGCCATTCTTTGTTCCGGCAGGAGTTCGTGCTGCAGCTGCAACCTACAAGCTCCAGAGAGGGAAGCTACCGTCCAAGGCGGCTGTATGCAGAGGCACGCGTTTAGGGTTAAGGGTTTAGGGTTTAGGGTTTAGGGTCGTTGGCATAGGGAAGTGGGTTGATGTTACACACACCGGCAGTTTCACGCAATCATGCAGGTTCGGGAGAACCACGTGCGCCTGGCAATGGTGCGAGGGCTCTCCTACGGGTAGCCCGCTGACCGCTTGGGCTCTTTCTATTTCTGAAGCCCAAGTTCCTTCCACGAGCTCCGGGGGCCATCTTCCCCTCGAGCATCGGGGAAACATTACCAGGGGGAGAGAGAGGACCTGCCACCAGCAGCGCGTGGTAGCTGTGCAACAGAAAGGACTTTCAGAACTCGCGACGTCCCATGCCAAGGTGAAGCTGTAGCCGCACGCATTGTGCAGGAAGGGGTGCCCTGGTTGCTAAGCACCAGGAGCACCTAAGACAGTGCCTGGCTTGCACCTGTGGGCACCACCTGCAACGCCACTCGACGCCTGCTCACCGGCTGCCAGCAACAGTTTGCATCTGCTTGCTCTCGAACCTCGGTCCTTGTAGCCTACAGCCTACGCCTCAGCGTGCGCACAGCTTGACCGTGCTCCCAACCCTGAGCAGGAGGCTCCCAAAACGAAGGAGCCGGAGCCGGAGCAGCAGGAGGGCACAGCCCCCAAGAACGAGGGCGAAGACGAGAAGGAGAAGAAGAGCAAGAAGGACGCGCGGCCGCAGACGCGGAGAAGGGGTTCCTTGAAGGGCTTTGGGGGGGTTTTCTGCAGGCTGCTGTTTAGAGGGACCCTGATTCAAATCGACCCCATCCATGTGAGCCACAGCCAACTTCGCCAAGGTTGCACCACATGGCTTACAACATCATTGACTGTGTATATATATATATACATATATGTATACAAATGTATGCTGTACATATACATATACATGTTACCCTGCTGATAAGAAACTATCCGCTAGGGTGAGCCAAAGGTGGTGGGGTCTGAGCAGCTGATCGCTTATTTGCTCCAATATCCTAGAGAGTCCTAGAGCTAAAGCCATAAAGCTTTGTGAGAAGTCTGACTGATTTTCAACTCGAATATGGGGTGTTGCAGTGGTGCCCCTCTGTACGCGTGCAGAAGCGGACTCACGCCGACCTTGATTTGGAATAACCTGAGGTCCCGTCTTGCATTGCGGCTTGTCCTCAGCCCAGCACCCTCTACACCCCCCTTGCAAGGAGAAGAAGAAGAGCAAGGCACAACGTATGCTCTCCCGCCCTTCGGGTTTAGGGTTTAGGGTTTAGGGTTTAGGGTTTAGGGTCAGCTCAGTTTAGGGTTTAGCGTCTAGGGCGTCGGACCAGAGCAAGGGGATGTGGGGTCTGCCTGCCAGGAGAAGCGGAAGACCGGCTCCTCAGGCGCTTTACGGCTTAAGGCTTCTATAACTTCTATAGGGTTTAGGGTACTTAGGCACTTAGGGATTTAGGGTTGCAGGCACTTAGGGAGTTAGGGTTTAGGGATTTAGGGCTCTAAGGATTTGAGGGTTTTCGGGGTTTAGGGTTTCGTGTCATCCCCTACACTCCACCCCCGCTGCCCCCCCCCCCCCCCCCCCCCCCCCCCCCCCCCCCCCCCCCCCCCCCCCCCCCCCACCCCTCCCAGTTTTCCCTTCGTAAACCATATTCAGAGGATGTCTTCGGGGAGGGGATCTAATGAAACAAGGGTTCAGGGCACACTGAAACCCTCAACCCAAAATCCTACTTGCAAGCTCTGTTGACATAGTAAGTGTGGTTGGTAAGGTGGCTCACGGGGATGATCAGTGGGCTTCTAGTTCATCCTGTGCAGGCCATGCCAAGGCAGCCGAAGATCCAGCGGCCACGAAGCAGGCTCGCTGTCAAATGACGGCGCTGGTTTAGGGTTTAGGGCTTAGGGTTTGGGGCTTAGGGCTTAGGGCTTAGGGTCGTGAAAATTGCGGAAGCTGGCTAAACCCCTAAGCCCTGTATGGCCACTTCTCTACATTCTGACAAGGCGGCCCCTTTTAATCTAGACTACCCAAAAAGGGACCGTATACTTTTGAGACCAAATCCTGAAACCCAAGCCAACAAACTCTCGAGGCTGGTGCGGACGAGGCGATGGGATCTTTTGGGCCGGGCGGGGCCGGGGACGGTGGCACATTGGCGGTATAGGGTCCCTTTTTGCATTGGCTCCAAGTATACAAATAATACCTACATTGGGGTCTAAAGTCTGTAAATAATACCTACTTTGGGCTATTTGGAGCCTTAGGGTTTTGCATTGGCTTGTCCTCAGCCCTGCGCCCTCTCAGCCCTCTCAACCCTCTTGCAAGGAGAAGAAGCGCACGACCAAGGCACAACGCATGCTCTCCCGAAGAGTTCAGTTTAGGGTTTCGGGTTTAGGGTTTCAGGTTTAGGGTTTAGGGCATTTAGGGCATTTAGGGCGTAGGACCAGAGGAGTGTGTGAAGTCTGCTTGCCAGGCGGAGGGATCAGATTCGAAGAAGCGGAAGACTGGCACCCCCGGCACTTTACTGTTTGAGGCTTCTTAGGGTTTAGGGTTTAGGGCTTTGGAGATTTAAGGATTTCAGGGTGTAGGGTTTGGGGTTTCATGTGATCCCCTACACCCATGTCCCCCCCCCTAGTTAACTGAGATAAGGGAAGCTTTCGGGGGAAGGGATCGGATGAAACAAGGGTTCGGGAGTACATTTCAGCCGTCCGCTAAACCCTCAACCCTAAACCCTCGTGCAGGCCATGCCAAAGCGTTCGATGCAGAGGCAGAGGCCGTTGCAGTCGGGTGCCCAAAGTCGCGCGCTGCGCTTTGCAAACCTTACGCCGCTTTGCCCCTCCTAACCCCTCTAAACTGCGCAACCACACAAGCCTAAACCTCAAAAACCCGAGACCCCTAAGCCCCCAAACCCCGAAACCCCCAAAAATCCTAGGCCGCCAACCCCTAATCTCCTACCGCCCGAAACGCCGAAACCCTGTAAACCTATGAGCCGGAAGCCCGAAAGCCGAACCCATAACAAGCCGCCTGCAAAGGATCAATCCGACTCCTCCGGCCAGGATTGATACGGCTGCTTTGCCAGAGGGTTTAGGGTTCGGAGAGGGACCTGAGATGGCGTAAGGTTCGGGGTTTGGGTGGGTTTTGGGGCAGGTCCCAGAATGAGGCTTGACCAAATACCCCCCCCAGATTACCTTGGGGGATCTCTCCTCTACGTGGGCGCGGGTTTTAGTCTCCTGGATTCTTCAGTTCTGCCTCCTTTGTGCTGGCCATGTTGTGCCAAGTCACACCACTTGACCCTCAGATCTATCCTTGGAATCCTTGGTAGCGCAGTTGTACCCATTTCCCTCTTTTTGTTGTCTCAAGGCTCCCTCCTAAAGCAACCAACCCAGAGGCCCTTTTGGGAGGTTCACCCGCACACCAACAGTCCTCAACAGGGATGATCGTACCCCTAAACCCTAAACCCCAAACCCTAAACCCTAAACCCTAAACCCTAAACCCTAAACCCTAAACCCTAAACCCTCTCATGCCTATTAAGGACTGTTAGTATAAGGGGGAGTATCCCAAGTGCCCTTCTTACCCGAGACCCTAAACCCCGAAACCCCCAAACCCCTCCAAAAACCCTACAATAAGCTCTTATTATAATTAGCCTCAAACCCTAAACCCTAAACCCTAAAACCTAAACCCTAAACCCTAAACCCTAAACCCTAACATTCCTGCAGGATGAGGCCATCATCGATGAGTTGCTCCCCCAGGGCGGGGGCCAGCTCCAGGAGCATGAGGGTTTAGGGTTTAGGGTTTAGGGTTTAGGGCTTAGGGTTTAGGGTTTAGGGTTTAGGGCTAGGGTTTCGGGTAGGAAGTTGGGGCTTGGAATCCCTCAACAGAAGCCTTCTGGGAGGCTGCGACTACAAGAGTGAAGTTGAGGTGTCAGTGTGATGCCATGGGCTTGAGGAGAAAGATCCGAACGCGCTCGTGGGGTATCCCGGGCGAAGTGTTCTGAAGGGAGGTGAGGAATTAGGGTTTAGGGTTTAGTGTGTAGGGTTTAGGGTTCAGGGTTTAGGATACAAGCAGCACAGCCAGGCTGGATGAGTCTGAGATGGACGACATCAAGGAGGCCGCTTCGTCAGAGCACCTGCAAATTGGACTTCTAAGACCCTCAACCCTACATGGCCGAATGGAATATGGGTCCGTTGCAAGATTCGTACGTAAGTACGGCGCTTTCATTCCTGGCACCTTTAAAAGGACCAACGTCTAGACAATAAGCCCTGAACGGTAAACCCTAAACTCTAGGCCCTAAACCCTAAACCCTCAACCCTAAACCCGGCACCTGCAGGTCAGCTTGCTGGTAGAACCCACTGTTCTGGCGCAAGTGCCCATTGTCGGATTGGAGGAGCCGACAGGGTTTCGGGGTTTAGGGTTTAGGGTTTTCGGGTTTAGGGAATCACGAATCAAGGATTTAGGGTTTTGGGTTGTGGGGTTTAGGGGTTCAGGAATCAAGTGTTTAGAGGTCAGGGGTTTAGGGCATAGGGGTTCAGGGACATCGCAACGGTTCCACCGGATTGTGCTTGAGGGCCTTGGGTTAAACAGTGTGAGGCTTTGGGGTTTTGGGAAGTTTTGGGACCTCTGCATCCGGGGAGTTTCAGGATTCGCGGTTCACATGTGATGGTCTTGAGCTTCACGGTTCGGGGCTAAGAGGTTTTAGGGCTCGTCGTGTTTTCTTATTTGGGCTCAGGTTTTTAGACTTATAGGGTTGGGGTTTAGGGTTCCTTCCAAAACCCCAATCCCCAAACCCTTTTGCAGGACTACTCACCTGAAGTTGTCGCCGTCGTGCCCCTCCAAGGGGATCAGGCAATGGGGAGCAGCTTTGTTTTGTTACGCGGTCTATTGCAACCGAAACCCTAAACCCTAAACCCTAAACCCAAACCCCAAACGCCAAACCTCAAACCCCAAACCCCAAACCCTAAACCCTAAAACCCAAAAACCCTAAATAGGGCTTTTAAGAGGTTTATTTGGTGGATGGTCGGCTTAGAAGTCGGTTCACGGGGATTGCCAGGCGGACTATCTGCACAGCAAGATGGGCCAGACCCCTGGAGTGGTGTAGGGTTTAGGGTTTAGGGTTTAGGGTGTAGGGTTTAGGGTTTACGGTCAAGGGTTTAGGGCTTACAGGGTTTAGCACAAACTCTTTGTTGAGCAGGAATCCTCCTTAAATCGTAAGAGTATGTAAGAATGGATCTAATGTCGTTTACGGTGCGTTTTTCAATGAGTGTGTTTGGGCCGGCGGGCCAGATGCACGTGCCTAAACCCTAAACCCTAAACCCTAAACCCTAAACCCTAAACCCTAAACCCTAAACCCTAAACCCTAAACCCTAAACCCTAAACCCTAAACCCTAAACCCTAAACCCTAAACCCTAAACCCCAATCCCTACACCGCAGCTGACCGAGGCCGCTACGAGGGGCCGAGCTGGGCGACAGCCCTGGCTCCGATCTTAGATTCTACAGCTTTCCTTAAGTCAAGATCTTTCTTCAGCTTAGGGTTTAGGGTTTAGGGTTTAGGGTTTAGGGTTTAGGGTTTAGGGTTTAGGGTTTAGGGTTTAGGGTTTAGGGTTTAGGGTTCTTGGCTGGGTAGGACCTTGGGACATGTTATCTCTTCCCGTATTGGGTTTGAGAGGATCATATTCAGGAATGTTTTTCAGAGGGCTTGAAGGCCCATCCTTCACAGGGTTCCTGTATGTTCCTGCTTTAAGAAGCTACTGGTACCTAGAAGCACACCCTAAACCCTTTGAATCCTAAACCCCCAAACCCTAAACCCTAAACCCTATATAAACCCTAAGCCCTACCCCTAAAACCCCACACCCTGACCCTGAACCCTAAATAAAAAGTAACCTCCCTGAACCCCAAACCCTAAGCCCGAACCCTCAACAAGCAGCCTCTAGCTCGATGCAGAAAAGTCGTGCCAAGAGGCCTGCGTCGCCGACGCGAGGATCGACGTTCCCAGCTTCCAGGAGGCCCATCCCCTCCCCACCGGCTTAGGGTTTGGGGTTTAGGGTTTAGGGTTTGGGGTTTAGGGTTTAGGGTTTAGGGTTGCAGATGCTTAAGGCTTAGGGTTTAGGGGTTAGGGGTTAAGGTATGGGGTTTGGGCTTTCGGGTTTAGGGTTGAAGATGCTTAGGGTTTAGGGTTTAAGGTTTGTGGCTTGGGGTTTAGGGTATAAAGTCTAGGGGTGAAGATGACCGAGATTTCGGGTTTAGGGTTTAGGGTTTGGGGCTTTGTTGGGACTTTCATAAGGGTTCCTGTCGATTGAGCTCAAGGGTACCTACAAGAAGCCATTTTCGGCGAGGGTTTAGGGTTTAGGGTTTAGGGTTTAGGGTTTAGGGCTTTGCCGGTGCAGGCGACCGTTGAAGCTGCCAGCCCTACAGCGATCTTGCCTCAGCATGTGTCAGACTTTAGCCAGCATAGGGTTTTAGAGTTTAGGAGGGGTTAAGGGTTTCCGGACTTAGGGGTTTAAGGGTTTTAGGGTTTAGGGGTTTTAAGGGTTTCAGGACTTAGTGGTTTAAGGGTTTTAGGGTTTAGGGGTTTTAGGGTTTTGGGGTTTAGGGGTTTAGGGTTTTAGGGTTTAGGATGTTAGGGTTTTAGGGTTTGTGATCGGCTGCAGCGGCTGTTTGCTGTGCCTGTGCTCTTGACCTTTCGCCCATCTGAGGCGTAGGCGTGCCGAGCTTCTCATCAACAAGCTCCTGCAAGCCAAGGAAACAGGAGGCTGAAGCCTTTTGGATGATTGGAAGATTAGATTGGTATGTGACTGTTAGTCGTACAGTTTTCATAAATACGCTTCAAATCATCAGATGGTATTATGTTATTCTATTTCTATGCTAGTACACTGGTATATTGTTAATTACATTATTACATTATTACACTATTACATTATTACATTATTACACTATTACATTATTACATGTTTACATTATTACATTATTACATTATTATTACTTTTTCACATTCTAACATGAGTACATGAGTACATTAGTACATTATCAAATTTTGCCATTATTACATTATTACTTTATTACTTTATTGCGGTATTACATGACTACATTTTTACATTATTACATTATTACATTATTACATTATTTCATTCTTACATTATTACATTATTACATTATTACGTTGTTACATTATTACATTATGAGATTATTGCATTATTACATTATTACATTATTTCATTATTACATTATTTCATTAATACATTATTACATTATTACATTATTACATTATTACATCATTACATTATTTCATTATTACATTATTACACTATTACATTATTACATTACATTATTGCATTATTGCATTATTACATTATTGCATTATTCCATTATTACATTATTACATGATCTTAGTTGCTATGTGCCAGGAATATGTTAGCATTTGATATTGGTATGATTCTGTCAGTATATCATTATCTCAATATATGAATATGTCTTAAAAGCAGTAGAGATTATTAGATTGTTAGACTGTCAGATTACTGGATTTTTGTTTTCACGTATTCTTATAGTATTCAGTTTTCATATTGGTATAGCATTTTACTACTATATTTGTTTGTTGCTATACTTTTCTATTGCCATATTATTAGGCGACTATACTGCTATGTTGTATTAATATATCGTTATATTTCTATATTCGCCCATTGTTACTGGATTATGTTGTTCTATTCAGATACCATTGTTTTATCACAGTTGTAAATGCCACTTTATATCATCACCCTAAACCCTAAACCCTAACCCCTAAACCCTAACCCCTAAACCCTAAACCCTGTATGTTTATTCCTTACATGAGATCCTGCCAGGCATCGTAGTGGATGCAACCCGGCGTCACAGCTTCATGAATCCCGGCTGCACGATGTTGCTCCAGTTTTTCCAAGGGTCCATGTATCCATAGAGGGTTTAGGGTTTAGGGTGAGGATATACTTGGGCCCTAAAGCCAGTCTACCGGAACCCCTAAAAAGGCCCCACCATGTTTACATGGGCCCTAAACCCTAAACCCTAAACCCTAAACCCTAAACCCTAAACCCTAAACCCTAAACCCTAAACCCTAAACCCTCTGCAAGATGCCCTCACCAGAGGACTCTCCTGAAATGGGAGCCGCAGCCCACGGACCGACGACCATTTCAAGCGCATGTCTTGTGTCAGTACCGGTTGTGAGGGGTTGTCTCATAATATATCAATGCAAAATTTTGTATAATGAGATATTCGTAGATTCATAAAATGATAGCCATCTAGCAATGTGATTCTTTTGCAGACTCTTCCGTCCTTTCCTGACAGGACAGGGACATGCTGAAGCAGCTTGCAGCCACCGTAGGTGGTTATGAGGCGGCGCGAGACAGGGTGCAAGGTTCACATGGGCATCTGAAGGAGGGGGTTTAGGGTTTAGGGTTTAGGGTTTAGGGTTTAGGGTTTAGGGTTTAGGGTTTAGGGGTTCAAGGGGGAGGGTGTAGCTCAATGTTCCCTAAGCTTCCCTTAAGAGTCATCGAAGAAGGGATCATCAGCCCTCAACATCGAAGCCTGAACCCAGAAGCGTTCGGAGTTTCGGCTGTCGGCACTAAACTTGAATCTGGCTTCCAGGTCGTGGTGCTTCCAGCTCGAGTTCAGTCTGACGAGGCCATCTGCAAATGTTGGTGTAGAGGTTTTTGGGTGGGATGTGCTACACTGAAGCTAAACCCAACCGTTGGAACCCAAAACCTACTTTGTTGCAGGTGCTTCTTCTTATAGCCCTCATGGGATTCTTAGGTAGCCTAATAAAAGTAGGTTTTGTTTCGGGTTCGTAAGGTGAACCCCAGTGAACCCACTTTGGCCCTGGCTGACAGGAGGCGGCGCTGGTGACTGTTGGAGCGCTTGTGGAGGCGCGACTGGGAAACCCCTGGCTTTGGAGGAAGCATTGAGGACGCCAACCGTCCCAGAAGGGGTTTAGGGGCTCAGGGGTTTTAGGGTTTGGGGTTTAGGGGTTTAGGGGTTTAGGGGGTTTTAGGGGGTTTAGGGGGTCTAGGGGGTCTAGGGGGTCTAGGGGGTCTAGGGGTCTAGGGTCTAGGTAGGAGGAGGACTTGGTAGCCCAGTGGTGCCCTTTTCCCTTTTGTCAGGGCTCAAGGTTCCCTTCTCAAGTAACCAACCCCCAAACAGGGTGCCCTTGTTGAAATATGGTTACTTGGGCTACCAAGAGGAAGCCAACCGTCCCAGAAAAGTTGCAGCCCGAAGCGCTGCACCCCTACTTGGAGGTTCATGATACTTATTGACCAATCATAACTGTACTTCTAACCCACTTGTACCCCTGAAGTGCCCTAATATGGTTATAGTTGGGTGATAAGTACAGTTATAACTATTGGGTTCATAGGTGCCATGAACCTCCAAGTAACCCCTTGGGGTTCGGTGGTTGGGAGAGGTGAAGGCAGACAACCGGAGCGACTGGGTTCCTGGCAACATCACGAAGGAGCCGGGTGAAGGCACACCGGCGGGCCCCCAAACCCCTGAGGTTTAGGGTTTAGGGTTTAGGGTTTAGGGTTTAGGGTTTAGGGTTTAGGGTTTAGGGTTTAGGGTTTAGGGTTTAGGGTTTAGGGTTTAGGGTTTAGGGTTTAGCCCCTGAACCCCATAAACCCCTGAACCCCTAAACCCCCAAACCCCATGGACCCCATAACCCCCTGAACCCCTAAACCCTAAACTAATGCCCGAAAACGCCCCTAAACCCCTGAACCCCTACACCCCTAAGCCCTACCCTCCTTGAGCCGGTATGCCATCCCAAGTATGCAAGTGCAGGAAGGAGTGGAGTGGACCTGAGTGCCCAGTGAACCGAGAAGAAAGCCCTCAATTGTTCCTAAACCCTAAACCCTAAACCCTAAACCCTAAACCCTAAACCCTAAACCCTAAACACATTCTCCTTAACACACAAGCCGGGTTTAGAGTTTAAGGCTTCAGCCGCTGCTGGGCACTCCCAGTAGGGCAAGCACACCCGGTGGAGGCGCGCCGTTTTTCGCAAAGGAGGGATCGGAGGGTTTGGCAGGTAGGGTTTCTAGGGCTTTGGGGGCGTTTGTGGGGCCGTATGGTAAGTGCCCAGTATGGATATAGTTGTTTCATAAGGAATGCTATTAGGGTTAATAAGTACCATGAACCTCCAAGTACGGCACTGACAGAGGTTGAAGTGGCCAACATCCGGCCGGGCTTCGACATGCTGGCGATCTTGGGCGAGAAGTTGAGCAGCTGGCTCAAGCACTCGAATTTTATAGCTAACGCCAGGCCGCCTCCGCAAGGGTGCTGGGGCGGCAGGTTTTTTGGGGGGGGGGAGGTTGGGAGGTTGCGGGGGGGGGGGGGGGGGGGGGGGGGGGGGGGGGAGGAGCGCATAGAGGTCACAACTCAGGGCTGAGGGGCTTAGTTCTGAGGGCTTGGGGCTTCGCGCTTGGGGCTTGGGGCTTGGGGCTTGGGGCTTGAGGCTTGGGGCTTGGGGCTTGGGGCTTGGGGCTTAGGGCTTAGGGCTTCGGGCTTCGGGCTTGGGGCTTGGGGCTTGGCTTGTGGCTTAGGGCTTAGGGCTTAAGGATTGGGGCTTAGGGCTTATTTGTTAGGGCTTAGGGGTCGGGTGGGCGGGGGGTGGGGGGAGTGGTTCCCTAGAATTGGATCTAAACGCCTCAGGCCTCCGGAATGGGGGATATTCAAAGTCCTACATTATCAATTAGAGTAGCATATTATATTGCTGTTTTTTTTATATTTCTAAGACTTCTTTATTACTTCTATATTACTATATGGCTATATTACTATATTTCCATTTTACTATATTTCCATATAGCTATATTTCCTTTTTACGATATTAGCATATTGCTATACTACTATATTACTACATTACCATCTTACTATCTTACTACAGTACTATCTTATTATCTTACTATATTACTATATTACTATATATTACTATATTACTATATATTACTATATTACTATATTACTATATTACTATATTACTATATTACTATATTACTATATTACATTTTTAGTATATTACTATATTACTATTTTAGTATATTACTATATTACTATATTACTATATTACTATATTATTATATTACTATATTACTATATTGCTATATTACTATATTACTATATTTCTATATTACTATATTACTATATTACTATATTACTATATTACTATATTACTATATTACTATATTACTGTATTACTGTATCGCGACATTACCATGCGATTATATTTCCTATATTATGACATTTCTATACCATTATAGTGTTAGGTGCGGGAGGGTCAGCATGTGTACCTGAAGCCGAAGCCCGAAGCCGCGGTGGCTCCGACCTCGCGAGGTCGAGCTCGAGTCCAACTTGCCTTGATGAGTCGTGTGTGGCAGGCAGGGCAGAGGGCAGAGGGCAGAGGGCTTAGGGTTTAGAGTTTAGGGTTTAGGGTTTAGGGTTTAGGGTTTAGGGTTTAGGGTTTAGGGTTTAGGGCATGCCCTCAGCATCGCAACCCAGGGGGCCCGAAAGTCCGAAATCGATGGCCCGACTCTGTGAAGATCCCCCCCTTGTTTTGATTCTATAGCACCACAATGACTTCCATATCACAATACTGTAGTATCAGATAAACATTTTTCTTCTTTACATAACAACACAACTTCTTTACATAATAACACAGGAATAAAACACAATAGTGTAATAACGTAAAATGTCATAATGTCAGGATGTAATCATTTAATAGTATTAACAATGGACCTTCTTTTATTGAGGGTTTTGGGTCCGCTTGGGATGGTAAAGCTGACGAGCCGCCTTAGAAGACGATAAACATCAAGACATGCGGCGTGCAGGAGAAGTGGGCGAAGAGCTCAGTGGTGTTGCATGTTGTTGCCTTCCGCGGCTAAACCCTAAACCCTAAACCCTAAACCCTAAACCCCAAACCCTACACCCTAAACCCTAAACCCTAAACCCTAAACCCTAAACCTCAACCCTAATAATTCTACACCCGGAGACCCGAAGTGCCCTTGTGTGTGTGTGGGGGGTGACTTAGGGCTTTGACTTCGGACAGCTTTCTGCCCTCGAACTGAGCCTTCGCCTCGGGAGCATCTTCGCCGCGACATGCGAGTTGTACAGAAGGAGTGGGAGGTAGGTTGCGGGTTTTGGGTTTAGGGTTTAGGGTTTGGCGCTGAGGGTTTAGGGTCAAGGTTTAGGGTTTACGGTTTAGGGTGTAGAGGACATAGACCCTTAAGAAGGATAGAAGAAGAGCATGTGGGGGCGACATTGCCTATACGTTTCACGTTGGTTTAAGAGCCTTAGGGGTGGAAATTGTTTGTAGGGTCCAGGTTTGTTGAAGGGTTTTGAGGGTTGAAAGGCCACAAACTCCACAGCCCATCACCACACTCTACCTCATACCATGCTATAACACCATTTTTGTACAGCGACCTTCTAGAAAACTCCTCCTTTCTCGTCATCCTTTTTTGGGGGGTAAGGTGCCGGTAGCCATGCTAGGGGGCCCTCAGGGTTTAGGGTTGAGGGTTTAGGGTTTTCTTAGTGTGGGTTCGTAGGGAGGAGGTGCTGAGCCTGTCATGACTACAAGTACTGGTTTGAGGTTTGGGGTTGCATCCAGTCACTTTAACTAAATGAAGGATGCTTTGTGAATGATCGATCTGTTTGCTTCTCCTTCAGCGGTAATGTGTTCGTGTGATTTGGTGCTCCGTGCGGCAAGCGAAGAAGAGACGTGTGCGTGGTGACTCCGTAATTTCCAACCGCTTGGGCGCAGCAGGCTGTTGGCAGTACGGGCAAAAGGTTTGGTCGCTTGCTCCCTGTGGAAGAAGAATGCTTTCTTCTTGACCAGGTCAAGATGGCCATGAGTGGGGGACTTACCGACACTACATCAAGGACCGCTGGGTCTTAGGGGCTGGGTAGTTAACCTTTAACCTTTTTGGTTATATATATATATATATGTATAATCCTGTTTCAAATGAAAATGTCAACCTTCAGCGGTGGGAAGGGAGTCGGTCCGTTTTTTGAATCAGGAGGACCAGCACCCAGACTTCATCCGCTCCCACACCCGTCTCATTGAGAAGGTGCGAATGTTCATGCACTGCTCAGGCAGCTTATGTGGTGATGCTAAAGCTGTTGCTTTGGGGTTCATGGTGCTGATAAAACTATTGCTCTGTACTTGTACATGTACTTATAACCATACTAGGGCACTCAAGGGGCTTATACGTGGGTTTACAGTTGTAATTGGTGAATAAGCACCATGAACCTCCAACTAGCCTTCGGAGATCTGCAGGTGATCGCCCAAGCAAGCGGTACTGCTGTGGCTATTCTTGATCGGATGGTCCCGGCCTTGCCGTGCTAAAGCAGGGGTTTCCGAAATTAGGGGGGGTACTTGTTGGGGTCCCTTATTCTAAGGGAATCCTACTTTTTTGGCCTCTATTGCAGCCCTAAACCCGAAATCCTAAACCCCCCTATTTTCGTAAACTCCAAGGATGTGCAAGCTGTGCCAGGACACACCGCAACTTTGTGTCGCTCAGGTAATGAGCACTGGACTGCGATGGGTGGGACCCCTAGAGCTCAGCACTGCACCCTAAACCCTAAACCCTAAACCCTAAACCCTAAACCCCTTCTTGCCGCAACCATTCAGGAGCGCAGCTGCGCCGCCGCCATGTTGCAGGCACCACCGATACTTCATAAAGAGCCCTGGGGCACAAGGGAGGGCGCTGTTCAGGGTTTAGGGTTTAGGGTTTAGGGTTTAGGGTTTGGGGAAGAGGGGCCCCTCATGTAAGCCGTCAAATAGTAGGATCACCTTAGAACAAGGAAACCCCCACATGCCCTGAGGAAGGCAAGAGCACGCCTCCCTTACACCCCCGTGGTTCCCCTAAACCCTAAACCCTAAACCCTAAACCCTAAACCCTAAACCCTAAACCCTAAACCCTAAACCCTAAACCCTAAACCCTAAACCATTAAACCCTAAACCCTGAACCCTGAGCCCTAAAATTGTTGGCTGTCATGGGGGGCTCCTTGGCACAGGATCTCCTGAAAGCTCACGCGAACAACTGCGAGATTCCGTCTTTTGGCGAGGTGCGGGCTTGGGCCTGGAAGTTGCTGTTGCCCTGGCGGACCTATAGGGTTAGGGGTAATGTTTGGACTTTAGGGTTTAGGGTTGAGGGTTGAGGGTTGAGGGTTGAGGGTTTAGGGCCGCTTGGGGTGTGGGCTGTGAAGCTCCTGAGCAACGCTTGCTGTAGGATTTCTGCTCGGAAAGGAGATTCAGCCCCTGAACCTTCAAAACCCTGGATCGGGTTATCGTCCAGAGCCCAGTCACTCCTATAGATACCGTATACAGTGCCTGTATGCCGAAGTATTTCCCAAGAAACCCCTAAATAACCCCTAAGGTCCCTTGTATGGGTCCCGAAACCGCTCCTACCATATAATTATAAACCTTAATGGTATTCGTGGGCAAGGCCCAAAAATTCGTGGGCAAGGCCCAAAGATTCGTGGGCAAGGCCCTAATATTCGTGGGCAAGGCCCAAAATCCGGATTTTGGGCATTGCCCACGATTTTTTGGGCCTTTTGGTTCGTGGGCAAGGCCCAAGAATTCGCGGGCAAGGCCCAAATATTCGTGGGCAAGGCACAACAATTCGTGGGCAAGGCCCAAAAACTCGTGGGCAAGGCCCAAAGATTCGTGGGCAAGGCCCGGCCTTGAGCCCCTAAACCCTTGAGACCCTAAACCCTTGAGCCCCTAAACCCTTGAGCCCCTAAACCCTTGAGACCCTAAACCCTTGAGCCCCTAAACCCTTGAGACCCTAAACCCTTGAGAGCCTAAACCCTTAAGACCCTAAAACCTTGAGAACCTAAACCCTTGAGACCCTAAACCCTTGAAACCCTAACCCTTGAGACCCTAAATCCTTGCGAACCCTATTAGTTTTGTTGTTGAGCCATCCTAATGATAAGAAGAAACTTTTGTATTTCTTAATGTCATGGGAACTCCGGGTGGGTGGGTATTTTTCGATGGTCTAAACAGCGAACCTAAACCAGAAACTGCTCGACCAGGAGCTTTTGAACCCTAAGCCCTAAACCCTCAAGCCTGAACCCTAAACCCTAAACCCTATAGACCCTAAACCCTCCTTCAGTGCCTTGAGCCTCATTCCAACAGGAGCGGCAGTGCAGTCTCCGGGTGCGTGTGGTGAGGGACCCGGCAAGAGGGTGAGGGAAGACTCGACACCGAGGGTTTAGGGTTTAGGGTTTCGGGTTTCGGGCTTCGGGGCCGGGATGCACAGCACCAATAGAGAAAGCAACACCACAAACAGCATCGACACAGAATCTGCAAATCGCCCTTGCGCAATGTGTCACACGCCGAGCTATAGACCCTAATCCTAAACCCCTTAACCCTGAAACCCTTAGTTTTCGAAGCAGCAGGCTGCCCCAAAAGAAACGCGAAACCCGAAGCCCTAAGCAAAGCCTCAACAGAAACGCCTCAGTACTAAAACGGGAAGTTGAGGGCATTGTGTCTTTAGGGTTTCCGGAGCGGTTTACGCGTTTGGGTCTATTTTGTTGGTTTTGGGGTTTTGAGGGTTTTGTGGTGGGGGCTTAGGATATCCTGGAGGGTGCAAAAAGGGTCCAGTGGGGTTTGTGGTTTAGGGTTTAGGGTAGAGAAGTCTGAGCCCTGAACACTGAACCCCGCATCAAGATCGCGAAAGGCTCGACAAACCATCCCCCACGTGATTCACCGGAGGCCTGGGTCGTTTTTTTTGTTTAGGCTTTAGGGTTTAGGGTTTTGGTGCAGGAACGGACAGTGGACCCCCCCCCCCCCCCAACAAAACCTTCGGCTTTCGGGTTTCTGATCTCTATCTACCCCGAATGTTACTTCACACCCCTTCCCGCAACAAACCCAAACCCGAAATTGCACTTCTTAGTCTGAGCTGTAACGGGTGCCCTGATCCCCTACCTTTAGCCTACTCATTGCCGGTCAACTTTTGTGCACCACCGAGAAGAGAAGGGACAACACCATCCAGGCAGACAATGCTACATGAAATGTCCTTTGGCCCGTCATATAATTCAATTCA